TTTTTTTTTTTTTTTTTGTTTTTTCGCTTCGAAGAAAAACGGAAAACGGCCGGCGTGCGAGATATTGGATACGTTCGTCGTAGTCAAAGAAGAGAGAAACAAGAGAAAAAAAAAAAAAGATCGACGATACGATAGAACGATCACGTCACGCCGTAGTCGTTCTCGTCTCGGCACCTTGCACTTTTGCACGGTGGTCCCAATTTGTGTTAAATCATCGCGATTTCGTACTCTGTTATTGCAAACGTTAGACATCGGTACACGCAGTTTCTCATCGTCTCGATTTACAACAACGCGCTATACCGCAATAACTTCGTCAGGGGACAGTCGAATGATGAAGCTTCGAACGAAGTCTCGAACGAAAATCTTCCCTTTTTTTTTTTTTTTTTTTTTTAAGATAAAGGCAACTCGAGAGAAATTGCACGCAACCTTACATAGACTTTGACGATACGCTACAATCGAAACAAAAAAAACAACGTTTCAACGGTAAAGTAGGTCGCGAGCGATCTATCGCGAGTTTTCGCCTCTCCCCTTTCTTTTTTTTTTTTTTTTTACTTTTTTTTTTACTTTTTTTTTTTTTTCTTCTCCTCATTTTTCAATGGTCGCTGCTCCAGCAGTTTTTCGCTTCGTAAAAACCGCTGTTCAATTATTCGGCTTATAATTTCTTCTCGTCGTTCACTCAATCTCCCATTCACACCGTGAACCATTTCCCTTCTCCGCAACTAACTTCGTCTATTTTCACCTATCTACGCGTCTATCTACTTAAATCTGCGTATTCTATACAATCCTGTGAATAGGTATTTAAAAGTACGCGTACCACATAGACCTGTAACAGGTTCGATATGAGTTACTCGTTCAGATACGAGGGATTATTTTGTAAAATAGGTATATAATATAATTCTTCGAATAGGCGGTGATAAATATTAACGACGAAGTAACAATACAATATTGCTCGATTTCGTATTGTATAATATATAATATATAATATTTATGATAATATAACAACGTTTGTTCGCTCGCGAATAAAGATAATCTCCCTTTCCCATCCGACTCTAAATCCCTCTCATCTTTCTCTCTTTTTTTTTTTTTTTTTGCTTTTTGTCCTTTTTTTTTTTTTCCTTTTTAAAGATCTACATAAGAAGGGGGCTCACCGCGCTCGTTCCATACATGTATGCATGTATATATTTGTATCATATATATATATATATATAATCTTTATATATATATATATATATTTATACCTATTTATAATTATTCTGTATATCTCTTCTCTGTTAAAGTAAATAATTACGATAGGCCTAACGATCTCGAGTAACAATCATAATTATTACCAACATTGGTTACCATTCGTTCTCTATTTCTTTCTCTTTCTCTCTCTCTCTCTCATTCATTCATTTGCTCTATTCTCCCGTTCATCAAATTTCCATTCTCATTCTCTCTTTTAATTTCTCTTAGTACGTTCGTCCGGCGAAGCGTCCAAGAATTTTTGCAAGCCATAGATTCCTCTCTTTCCACGCTTCCTGCTATTTCAATAATAAAAGCAAACGAACAAGCGAAATCGAAAGGAGCTACGCGTAATATATTTCCTTTCTTCTTTGTGCTCGATTCATAAACGCAGCGCGCGCGACTCGAGGGCGATATCTTTTACAATATTTATACAATATCGATATATATATATATATGATTAATTTGTTAAATTCAGAAAAAAGTTTACATATATATATATATGTATGTATATATATATATATAAAATACGTAGTTATGTGTATCGAAATCATCATGCTTATCGACAATATACTAATAATACGGTACACACGTATCTCTTGCTTCACTGAACGTGATCTACATAAAAAAAAAATCTGCACGACGAAATCTTTTCGTACTCCGTATATATGCTCATTCTCACTTTCTCTCTCGTTCGCTCGCTTTTTTCTCTTTCTCTCTCTCTCGTTCGTTCGCTCGCTCGCTCGCTCGCTCGTTCTCTCTCACTCTCGTTCCATACATGTTCGTTTTCTCTTCGCTACGGACTAATTTTGATGCTACAAAGAGGGGGGATGGGGGATCAACGTCAGCGCTGACAGCATCTCTGGCTCTCTGTCTCTATGCATTCTCTTAAAGCTAAAGAGGTAAGTGTAAAGATGCGAATACTGTTAAGGCTGGCTGACAGCTTAAACATCGCTCATCTGCAGTGTTGGATCCAATCTGCGGTAACCACGTCTATCTATTTCATTTACTTTTCATTCAGATTATAAATTATTCTTAATTTTTACGATTCGTATCCGTACGATACGACGAAGAAAGAAAAAAATCGAAGTTTAAAATGAGTTTAACAAGCGGACAAATTCGCGTGTAAATTAAAAAGATCGTGATGGAAGATAAGATATAAATGGGTATAACGTGGATACACGCAGATCACGATACAAAAAACGGAACAACTGGGAGGGGAGGGGAGGGGGGGGGGTATCCCTCGACGCCGTGTCGACACAGCGTACAATGGATTATTATTATTATTATTATTATTATTATTATTCGTTCGTTCGTTCGTTCGTTCTTTCGCTCGTGTACAATACAAAGGTAGAGGTACTTCGCTTCGTGTAAATACAATAATGTACAATCTTCGATTATTCTTTTTCGATTATTCTCCTTGCTCTCCCTACCGCGTCCATGATTTCTTTCGTTTGGAGTTTAACCTTACAGTGACAACCCCGGCGCGTTAAGCGTGCGCGGGGCCGCAAGAAACGGAATCGATCTACGGTGAGTCGACAGATAAAACGATGAACAAAATTCTATCTACACATTAAACACACCTTCCTTCTTCCTTCCTTCCTTCCTTTCCTTTCTTCACTTTCTCGCACCCTCTCCCCCTCTCTTTTCTCTCTTTTTTTATTCTGTTCGAAACGACGCGTCTTCTTCGCTGTTCAGATCAATCAAATCTTCTCCTTCCTTCACCTTCGCTCTCTCCTTTCCCCTCCTTCTCCACACAGAGGAGAAAACATCCCGTATCTCTTCACAGAATTCGAACTTGCTGTCGCGCTAAACGTCCTCCTCCGCTCGTCTGCGCTGCGATTCGTTCCGTTTTCCTCGGGTTCTCATCGGGGAGCGAGAATATTTCGTTGATCGCACGATGTGTTCCACGTGGAGCGTGTTATACGGTGTATATCGAGAAAAAGAACAAAGCGGAATAACTCGAATCGTCTCTCGGGAAGGAATCTAAATATCTATTATTTGCCGCTTAAGGCAAGCTCCCTCGATCCGTTCGATATAAATTCGCCCCTATACGAGCATGGATCGTACGCGTACATAAAGATATCACGAGGTTGCTCCTCGCATTTAGCGCGCTCGCTACGACCTACTAGCTGCTTGCGAATTTACCGCGTGACACGCGCGTCTGCCCCATGGCATACACATGGCGCACACATATACCCACACACACACATATACACGCGGTGTCCATCTAAGTATCGATCTACTGTACACGGATATTTTGGTCGTAACGCTAATCGTGATAACAAATTACATGGTATGTATTATCTAGGGGAAGGGGGGGATCTCGCTGTGCGTATGTATCGTTCACATGTGCACTCCCACACGCTGTGCGATCTCTATTATTATTATTATTATATCCCTTTTCTTTCTGTTATTTCTCTGTGTGTAGATGTGTCTCTGTGTGTGATTATACGAATGTATAATATGCGATGTATATATGTATACGTATCCGATGTAAACTGTGCATGTGTATGTATACTGAACTCGTTTCGACTTGCGCACGTACACGCGCAGACGCGCATACGCATGCGCGCAACGATGCAAAGAACAAACAGCGTGTGCACGCTCCCGGTACAACTCTTGTTGTCATTTCTTGTGTATATGCATTTCTGTTCTCGTTAATCTGTGGGTAATCTTTAACCCTTAAACAGGCGCACGATACTTGACGCGTTTTCGTTTTTTTTAGCTAAAGGATTTCTATCTTTTTTTTTTTATTCTGTTCTTTTTTTATTTTTTTTTTTTTTAATTTTTTTTCAATTTATCGTTAATAATAATCTCTCCTCTTATTTTTAGAAACTTTTTAGATAAATCGTTAAAAGTGTAAACGCTATATCACGAGAGGAAGAACTTGGATAAACGTGCAATTAAGATGAAAAAATCTTTACTCGTTTATTATTTTTATTCATTTTCTCTCTATATCTCTCTTTTTTTTTTTTCTTTTTCTTTTTACTTCTGCGTAAACGTCTGCTTGTCTTTTAAAAAACTCTACCGAATCACTGAATTGACTTGACGACGCTATCTCGCGTCGACATCTTCGTTACATGTAAATATTATTCGTAAATAAACTAATTTTTTTTTCTCTTCTAACTTTCTGTCTTAAATATTTCTACATTTAGAGATGAAAATTTGCTCTCTTAAGGGTTAAAGATGAAGTTCGTAGGAGAAGATTCTTTGAAAAATCACTCGAAGATAGTTCGTAACGTAAATTAAATCAAACGAAAGAACGTAAGGTCGTAAGGAAACGAAAATATATAGTCGTTAAAGAATCGAACTACTTGGCTAACAATAACAAAACAAATAAAAAAAAAAAAAAAAAAAAGAAATACAAGCGATATATTCAAATAGAATTTACTTTTAACATTCGTTGAAAAATAAAAGGCACAGCACATACAATGGTACAATTTATTTCCCAGAAGGCAATAACTTTTTCGAGGCGATGATCGTTCGAATAACAAATAAATCGATTAACTTTGCGAGTAAAAAATTGATATGAATGATCATTCTGGACGTTTTCTATAACGTACGCGATTAATTGATAAAAGAAAAGAAAAACGAGAAAAAAAAAGAAAGAAAGAAAGAAAGAAATTTAAACGCAGGACGGAAAGAGAACATATCATAGAACGATGTTATCGATCGTATTCAATCGCCTATTTGTCAACTCGTCTGTACTATAGGTTCACGATGAATATAAGTACATTGTGACAAATAAAGTGACAAATAAATTAAGTAAGTATATG